GTTATACCCTTTTTTCCTGATCCCAGCAATAATAGCAGAGTACAATAATTCAAAAGCGTATAGTGCCAACTTATTTGGCGCTATATATGTAAAAAAAAATCTTCACGGCTCTCCATTTTCTATATAAAGAGGTTAGAATCGCATAGAAATGCATTCAAAAAATTTTTTAACTCTTGTTGAAACGTCTGTTGTTGTTAAATTCTCCAGCATTTTTTTATTATGTCTGAAGAGCGTAGGATAAGAGTTTCATTATATTGGGGTGGTGAGGTTGTGATGGAGAATAACTCCGTGGGCTACAGTTTACCTGCTAAGTGTCATGTTAAATTGCCACTGACAATGGAGTACGATACATTGATATCGTTGTTATAGCAAAAAATGAGTGTGAGAAAACGTCGTGATATTTAAGTAACCAGATATCCTTATCCGTCACTCCGGCAAGGGGTTGCTTTTTACTCGGAGTTTAACATCGACGATGATGAAACTTTGAGTGACTTTTTGAGGACTCCGGACGAATGTCGGGATTTTCTTGTAATCACAATGTTGGAGATGTACGTGAAGGTCGAAGACGTTCCAAAAAATGAGGTTGTGCGTAGTAGAGATAACCCCCAGTCATCGGGGGGTTATTCTGGAACAGTTTTTGCCGGACAAGTTCCGGATGAAAGAGTTATCTTTGATTTAAACTTATCACCGCCGGTGAATGAGCAGCGAGGAAATAATTTAAACCCTGCTTTCCATAACTCACAAGACGAGTGGTAAATTTTAATTTTCATTTGTGTTAATTATGTATATATTTGTTGTATTGAATTTATCTTAACGCTCACATATTTAATAGAGGTTACCGGCCGGATATGAATTTTACAAGTGGCCCATCCGGTAGTCATCACCTAATTGATAACGTCCATCATGAAGATAGATAGAGGAAGAGGGGGGGACCAATTTTAGGAAGGGAGATTAGAATAATGGAGGAAGAAGACGGGGGAAGAAGAAGATGGAGGGTTTTTTGGGGAGGGATATAACGCCACTATTTCTGGCGCTATATCACTGTCAGTGTATAACGCCAGAAATAGTGGCGCTATATCACTCTGACAGTGTATAACGCCAGAAATGGTAGCGCTATACATAAACTGTCCAGTTACCGTTTATATATAGCGTCACTATTTCTGGCGCTATATATATTTTTGTTACCTTTTTTTTTTACACCTATTTATGTGTTTTGAGTCCAAAATAGCAACATTTTGGTTTCGGACTCATTCTTTCAGTTGTACTTTTTTAGGGTTTCACAGGAATATCCCCTGTAAATAGGAAGAGATAAAGAACAAAAGGGGGATCTTCACTTTCGATAAGAGCACATTGTAAAGGGTTGACTAAGGAGAGTATACAAAAGCTTATCATGTTCACTTATTACATCGTTCGATATACATTGTTCGTTCACAAGATCCAAAGATTCCTTGTCCATCTTCATTTCCTATCACCCCACGTTGTTGTCAGGAAGGAGAATCATCCAAGTCCCCTAATATATGGGTGATAAATTCCTTCTTATTATATTTATTTCCTTTATCTACATTTATTGCATGCTTCTATTACTACATTCATTGATAATCATTGGACATATACTTGATATTCATTATTCTAGAACACGGCACCATCCTGCTGATATACTCCTATTTTAGATCTAGAATTTATTATGTTTGACTAGAATTCACCCTCTATTTCCTCATTAATTAGTTTAACAAAAAGCTTTACATTTTTTGGTCGAACAAGTACCATTCTTGATTCGATCTTTATATAAAGTTTCGTTCAAATTATTCCACATAAGAAGCTCTCTCCGAATCATTTGAAGAGTCATATGTACATTTTCAATATTTATTTGCTATGTTGCAACCCGCTTTAGTTGACATTTTCAGTAGCAAATGAAGGAAATCTTAGTGAAAGCAATGAAATAATCCCAGAATATACGGGACAATTTTTGAAGAATGTATTTCTATTTTAAAAATGTAGGATTTGTTCGCAACAGTGGAATATATTTTTTAGAAGAGTTCAAGAGGAGACGACCTTTTTCCAAATGGAGATATGTTTCAGAATCCTGATCTTAAATTAAATTAATACTCCCTCTCTCACAATCTACATGATGTTGTTCAGATTTTAAGAGCCAAACGAATTTTTCTTTGATTGTAATTTTTTCATAAACCATTAAATAATTTAAATTGTTAATCATTGTGACTTGTACTACTTTTTTTATAATCTGAAAATATGCATATTTTACTTCATAAAACTGAAAAATTCTATATTGAAATTCGCATCAAAATTAAGAAATTTAACTCCCGAAATCCGAATAATATCACATAAATTAAGAAGGGGGGAATATATAATTATTCTACACAACTTCCAAGATCCATCAATATATATATATAAGGACCAATAAATCTTGTACATTAGCCTGATCAACCCCATTTTCATCAAATTTATATAGAAGTACATAAGCCATGGACATTCAATTTCCTTATAGCATTATTTTCTTGCTTCCAACATTTTTACTTGTTGTTCTATCCTTCATCTATTCAAAAAAAACTGGTAAGTCTCGGCCCTTCCCAAAATCATACCCACTAATTGGTTCTTCATTACAATTCATAAAAAACCGCCACAACATTATTATTTGGATTTCAGAAATCTTCCAAAAATCATCATCTAATTCCACCATCACCCTCCAAGGTCTAAATGTGATATTCACTATAAATCCTTCGAACGTTCAGCATATTCTCAAAACTCGCTTCAATATCTACGGAAAAGAAAGCTCACTAAAAGAAGCTTTATCTGATTTTTTCGGATATAATGGCCTTTTTCTTATTGATGGAAAGGAATGGAAGTGCCAAAGACAATTTCTGGGTCATGATTTCAACTTAAAAGGGTTCCAAAATTTTGTCCAATCTGTGACTGAGAAAGAAATGTCGAATCGCCTTCTCCCTTTTCTAAAGTCAGCAGCAGCCATGAACAAATCCACACTTGACCTACAAGAAACCTTTCGTCGATTGACTTACGACTTGGTATGTCAAATTGGGTTCAGTTATGATCTTCAATACTTATTACCATCTCTACCACCAACCCCATTTGCAGATGCTTATGAAACTGCATTGAAGATCAGCATGGGAAGGTATTAAATGTTTAAAATAAAGTTAATAAATAAAAAAGTTTAAATGAGTATTGAAAGGCATCCTTTCATTATTCTATAACCACAAAGTAGTATATAACTACACGTGATCTTGTTTTTGAATTTCACTTCTTATTTTCGCGTTTCAAGATTTAATCTTTTCTTCTTTATTCTTCCAGAATATTTTCCAATATGAAAGCTTCTTTTTAATGTATTTTCTGTTCTTGGTTCATATTTGTCAAAACAGGTACACCACCTTGCCTTTCATATGGAAAGTTAAGAAAAAATTCAACACCAAGTCTCAAAAGAGACTCAAACATGTGGTAGATGAGATACAAGAATTTATGGGGAAAAGGATAAAGGAAAAGAAGGAAAAGCTTGTGAATAATAGGAAATGGATAGATGATCATGACGACCTTTTCGACAGAATAATGAAACGGGGACAAGATAAATTACAATTAGGCGAGGCGTATTACGTTGATGCAGCCATTAACTTTATCTTAGCAGGTCAAGATACATTGTGTTCAGCTTTGACATGGTTTTTTTGGTTAGTCTCAACTAACCCTAGTGTGGAAATTGAGATTGTAAAGGAAATTAAAGAGAAAGATGATTGGAGGGAAATGGTTTATACACATGCTTCAATATGTGAAAGCATGAGATTGTACCCACCTGTCCCAGTGGAAGGAAAACAAGCAGCAGAAGATGATGTTTGGCCTGATGGGACAAAAGTGAAGAAAGGAATGAGAGTTTGTTTTCATATCCTTGCAATGGGAAGGTCAGAAGAGTTGTGGGGTTCAAATTGGGCAGATTTTCGTCCCGAAAGATGGTTGGATAAAAGTGTTGAAACGGGAGAATGGAGGTTTATTGCAAGAGACCCTTTCACCTACCCAGTGTTTCTAGCAGGGCCAAGAACTTGTCTAGGAAAACAAGTTGCTTTTATTCAAATGAAAATGGTTGCTTCTACTATTTTGAAGCATTTTCGAGTCATTCCTTCTATGGAAGATTTTGTTCCATCTTATCATTCATCTGTGACATCGAAGATGAAAAATGGCTTTCCAGTAAAAATTCTGGAGCGTTTCTGAACATTATGCTGTGTGACAACAAGATCTGTCACATAAATAGATAGAGCTTGCTTGGATCCAACATTTAAAATTTATGGGTTCAATCTTTAAAGTTCTTAGTAGTATGGGTTAATCAAACCTATCATTTGTTATAATTTTAACGAACTTTTACATGTAAATTTATGTTCCCCAGATTTCTAGCATACCTCATCGTATATATTCATACGTTATTACGAGTGGGTGGAATCCTAACTGATAAGGTGAGTAATGGGACGTTGTAAGGTAAACATGGCACTATGTGGGTGTCTTGTAGGAATCTTCACATGTATAAAGAACGTTTATGTTATGATGATTATTTTTGGCTCTCATAAACAATAGTATATGATTATGTTAAATGCCTACTGTCACAAGTTATGCTTTTAAACTAACTTTTTCACATCACAGCGGCATATTTATTATTTTGATAACCTATGTTGCATCATGAATTGTACAAGTTATCTCTTAAATGTTAGAGATAGATTCAAGTACATGTTTTTAAAAGACTTGTTTCAACTTTTAGAAGCAGTCTATGAGATATACCGAGTTTATACTTACTCTCATACTTTTCCGTTCTATGGGCTCAGTTATTGCATCAGAATCCACGTGTTGAGTGTCACCTGCATACCTTCTATGGTAAGGCCGGTCTAGAGAAATGTTTGTCCTTTTCTTTTTGGATTTGATGGACTAAGTGGCATTCTATCTACGTATGAATTTCATGACTCAAAATCCCAATTTCGGGATTGTGATGACGCCTAACAGTCACTTGCTTGGCAAGCCGACACAACGAATATTACAAAAAAATAAGCAATAAATATCTAATAACTGAACAATAACATAACGTCAACAACCCCAAGATTTGATGTCACAAGTACATGAGCGTCTAGATCCAGCAAAATACAAGGTTTGAAGGAGATACATCATTGTCCTAAATAAAATGGAAACAACACAAGAAATAGGAAAGTGACTCTAAGGCCTGCGAACGGGGTGCAACTCTACCTCGAATCACTGACTGGTATCCGCTAAGTGCCTCTCGGGATTCCGTTGGTACCAATGTCAAATCTGCACAAGAAGTCTAGAAGTGTAGTAGGAGTACAACCAGCTCAATGTACTCAGTAAGTGTCGAATCTAACCCCGATGAGATAATAACGAGGCTAGGACAAGACACCTACTAAAAACATGTGCATATATATATATATATATATATATATATATATATATATATATATATATATATATATATATATATATATATATATGTGTGTGTGTGTGTGTGTGTGCGCGCGCGCGCGTATCGAAATAACAAGTAGCATCAAAAGAAGTAACAAGGTAGGGACATATAAAAGGACGACCAACAATCAGAACAATAAATAATCACCAAGTAAGTCTCTTTCCGAAATAAGCAACGAAACCGCCAAGTTAAATTCTCAATCCAAGTATCAAGTAAAAGCAAGAAAATTAACAAATTGTACGGCATAACCCTTCGTGTTTTTACTCTCACCCTCACCATATAATATGTATAAAGTATGTGCACGATATCAAACTTCGTGCTTTTACTCTTTTCCTTACCATATATATATATATATATATATATATATATATATATATATATATATATATATACATATATATATATATATATACATATATATATATATATATATATATATATAAAATATGTGCACGACAGCATCCTTCATGCTTTTACCCTCATTCTCACAGGATCATGATAATAGCAAGCAATTGTACGGCATCACGATTCATGCTTTAGCTTCACGTTCACTCAACCAAAGGTATTAATATGCAAACAAGGCACGCAACACCCTTCTTGTTTTCCACTCTTGCTCACCAAGCAATTACAACAATACATACCAAGGAAGGTGGGAAGAAATTCAATCCAATAACGATATTTGAATATGACTCATCATGTGAGGTTCTTTCAACATTAGTGTCAACAACCAACCAACAACTTCCACGTTCTCATCACCCCATAACACAATAATCTCGATATAAGAAATAACATGAAAGCGAATAATTAAAGAGTTAGCAATTTATCTAAGGCATAGAAGACTTAATACACGGAAAAACATAGTACAAGTAAGGGAAATTCCATCCTCATGCTTATCCCATGGCCCGCACATATACACTCATCACCTTGCATATACGCTGCCCCCAACACATAATTCACATAGCAAATAGACTCAATTCTACCTTATTTCCCTCGAATCAAGATTAACCAAGACACTTACCTCTTTCTGCAATAAAATCACAATCGATCATGATTTTTCCTTTCGAACAACCCTCCGAACCAACCAAATCTAGTCAATTATATATCAAACAATCCAAAATAAGCTATAGAAACTACCCATGAATGAAAAAGTTTCAATTTTGGTTATTTTTAAAAAATAAAAAGTCAACCCATGCTCGCTCGATCAAAATCTGATCAGATTCGGATCAAAACCCGATAACACATTCACCCTTGAGCCTGGATATATGATTATTTCGAAATTCGACCTCAATTTGAGGTCTAAATCTCAATTTTATAAAATTCCTAAATTCTACCCAAAACCCCTAATTTCTACCTTGAAATTCATATATTTGAAGTTAGAAATTCATGAAAAGTAATTGAAATTGATTGAAAACTAGTTAAAGATGCTTACAATAAATTTAGGGAGAAAAAGTTCTTCAAAAATCACCTCTATGGAACTTAGGGTTGAAAAAGCGTGCAAAATGAGTTAAGTCCCGACTTTCCAATCTTTTACCCATCTGCAGAAGTCGCAAATGCGACATATACCTCGCATTTGCAAAGTCCCCAGAAATTGCAAATACGGTGCATGCTTTGCAAATGTTAAGACGTTCTTATCAGCCATTGTGTCGCAATGCGACACTGAGATCGCAAATGCGGTCCCAACCCAGTTCGCAAAAGCGAACTCTACTTCGCAAATCCGAAGTGCCAGCCCGCAACCCAATAAGAAAGAGTGACAGTGTGTCTCTCTAGTCCCCTAAGGAAGAAGAAAATGACTCAAAGAGTCAAGAAAGTGTGAGCCGAAATGAGAAAACTGAAATTCTTAAGGAATGCGGAAACCTTCATAGACTTATATCCTACCTTGAACCAAAAGCCTTCATTACATCCCCGTAAAAGCCCTATACGATTTCAAGTTGAGTGAGCTTACATTAGTGGTGATTCATGTAAGGGGCAAGCTTATGGTACTTAGAGCCGGACATGTGACCTTCCTTTGAGAGAGATAAGCGTATTGTCCACAATCCTTGTCTTGAGTGCTGCAATCTAAAGTGAGGTTTGCTTATGGAGAGTAGAGGAGTAAGAGTTTGGGTTCCACAATGATGTCCACAATCCTTGTCTTGAGTTCCACAATCTAAAGTGAGGTTTGCTTATAGAGAGTAGAGGAGTAAGAGTTTGGGTTCCACAATGACCTATGTAGTAGAAAGAGCTTCCTTGAGGAGTTAAGTCAACTCTTGATGCTCATGTGTCGCACTAGAGCTATGGTACTAAAAAGGTTGTGTGTTGTTAATATTGCATTTGTGTTAGGGTAATTGTTAGTCCCAATTGATGCTTGATGAAATCACCCTAGGACAGCTGAAATTTTCCTTTCTTTTATCTTGTGGAGGTGGGAGTTACTTTGTTTGCTTGAGGACAAGCAAAAGCTTAAGTTTGGGGGAGTTGATAACTATGGATTTTAGCCTATCTTATGCTCTCTATTGCTTAGGTTTTGGATAAAAAATGTGTAAAAGTATTCCCGAAAACTGACTTAATGTGCTTGTCAGTAGGGTTTGCTCAAAATGAGGCAAGAAAGCCAAAATCAACTCATGAAGGAGTTAAAATTGCACGAGTTCAAAGCTGGGACTGAAGCGCTAACCGCGATGGAAAAGCGTGGCCGCGTAAAGTCCACCGCTGAAGCGGCCACAATTACGCGATCCGCGGAAGTGAGGTTCAAAGAAGATGTTTTGGAGACATTAGTGACTGCTGCCCGCGATGAAAAAGCGCGGTCACGGAATACTTGACGTGGCCGCATTGATATTTCCGCTGAGAGCGTTGATCAAAGTTCAGAGACCCTGCAAGTTGAGCCTGCATGAGGAGCGCGATTCACGTCCAGATTACACGGCCGCGGTTGATGCTAATGCGGAGGCAGTAACTTTTACGCTGCTCACGAAATCAAGTCCAAACCAAGCATAAAAGTGAAGAAACGCGGTCCACGCTTATTTTGCGCGGCCGCGAAAGTCCATACGCTGAGGCACTCAGTATTTCTCTCACAGCGGAACCTCCGTGGGGTACTTTTGTCCAGTAATTTCATATGTGTATAAATAGATCGTTTCACATTTTTAGGGTATCTTTTGTATTAGGGAGCTCGTGAATAGCCGTACTTTACTACTTAGAGTAATTTTAGAGTAGCTTTAGCTATTATTCTTCAATTTTACTCTTGTAATCAACTTTTATGGCTTATATTTCATCTCCATCTTTGATTTCTACCTTGATTATGAGTAGCTAAACCCATTACCTAGGGTTGTGACCCAACCCTAGTGTAGGTATTTAATGGGTCTTCAATTTTAGGGCTTAATTATTTATGGGTTAGTGATATTTAGCTTAATTCATGCTTTAATTGTAGGATTGGTGGTTGCAAACACTGATTCGTGCCTTTATGACTTAGGTTCTTCTTGAGAAAGAGGGACTAAGTCTAGGAAACTTAGGCTAACAAGGAACTTGGGTGCATTCAAGAGATCGATAGCCCCAATTAAAGGGTTAAACCTAGAGATAAGTAATACCCGAATTGAGCCAATTTTACTTGCATTGTTTGAACACCCAATTGGGCTTGAGAAAGCCAATTAGGGCAAAGTCACTCAAACTACCGAGAGGTATAGAGTGAGTAATTATATGTAAAGGTTATATCATGACCCCAATATAACAAGCTTGTCCTAAATTCTAGACCCCATCAGATACTCGCGTAGGTGTAAGTCGCTTCCCTAGTGCTTTTTATCAATTGAGAAAATTCCTACAAAAATATTTTACTTAGATTATTTTCAGCAATCAGTAGCATTAAAAGTAGAATAGAATCAAATCCAAGCATGGTTAGAAGTGCAATTAAAGCAACACGCTAGCTAGATTGGATAGAAACCCAACTCTCAACTA